TGTAAAGGTTTTGTTTTGTTTTGTTTTTAATCGTTAAATAACTTACTGTATTTTTTTTTTAAAGATTTTATTTATTTGTCAGAGAGAAAGACAGAGAGCACAAAGCAGGGGGAGCGGCAGACAGAGGGAGAAGCAGGCTGTGCAAGGAGCCTGATTCAGGACTTGATCCCAGGACTCTGGGATCATGACCTGAGCCGAAGGCAGATGCTTAACTGACTGAGCCTCCCAGGCGTCCCGATAACTTACTGTATTATTACAACAACCTTTGGATGTTCGTTAGTTCAACAAATATTTTTACTGTTGGCCTAAGATACAACTTTCTCAAGATTGTTAAGTCTGTCACTTCTCATTTGCCTGCTTTCCAGCTTCTTAGTTTTTGTTGCTATTGTCTTATCTTTTATTCTCTTTGTTCTATTGGGTTTGTGGACTTTAAAAATTCCTTACCATCTTTTAGTGGGGTCTTGGAGTGAGAGGAGCTAAGTAGGCATGTCAAAGTCATGATCTTTAACTGAAAATCCTCTTATTTCTTTTAAGCATTCAAATATTTTGATTGTATCTTGCATTTAAGCTGTCTTAATGTTTAGGATTTTGATATGTTTTATTAACTGACCTAATATGTAAAGTTAAAATGTTTTTAAATTTTACTATTTTAAATGCTTTTAAATTAAATTTTAATTTTTACTAAGAATTCAAGGTTAAAGAATTTTGGTATTTTTGATTAAAATGATTATCATTGTAGTCCTACCCTTACTACAATGTTGACTGGAATGGAAATAGTTATAGATGGAGCCTAACATTCTATTCTTTTTTTTTTTTAAGATTTTATTTATTTGAGGGGCGCCTGGGTGGCTCAGATGGTTAAGCGTCTGCCTTCAGCTCAGGTCATGATCCCAGGGTCCTGGGATCGAACCCCACATCGGGCTCCTGGCTCAGCGGGGAGTCTGCTTCTCCCTCTCCCTCTGCTTCTCCCACTGCTCATGCTCTCTCTCTATATATATCTCTGTGTCTCAAATGAATAAATAAAATCTTAAAAAAAAAAAGATTTTATTTATTTGAGAGAGAGGAAGAGAGAGCATGAGGAGAGAGAGCATGAGCAGAGGGGGGAGGCAGAGGGAAAAGCAGACTCCCCCACTGAGGAGGGAGCCCAATGTGGGGCTCGATCCTAAGACCCTGGGATCATGACCCGAGTTGAAGGCAGATGCTTAACTGACTGAGCCACCCAGGTGACCCTGTTTTTCTTATAATCTTATTTAATCTTCATGCTTATGAGAAGCAGTGGTAGCTTTTTAAATTCTTCCTTAAACTCTTTATGACCATTGGAATTTTATAAGAACAGAATAAATAATATCAATCATGCAATATGAAACTTGCTTTTTCTAAGTAGTTTAGTGTTGAATGTGATAGTTCATTATATAAATTTTACTTCAGGATTAAATAAGGGAAATGTGTTGGGGGTGAGACTGAATAAAATTTGATAAGATCTAAAAATTCCTTTAAGAAAGTTTAAAAAAATTTTTTTTAATT